CTAAATAACTCCCAATACACTACACATACAACAGTACTTACAATATACAGTAACTGTAGCTGATGCACTATCTGGTTGTCCTATACCATTACTAGCATAACATGTATATATACCATCATCTTCTCTTACAATATTAATAATAGTCAATGATCCATCATTCAGACTGTATCTACCAACTATAGTGATGTCACCACTGTCTTTCTTCCATGTATAAGTAGTAGGTATAGCTGGTTTGCCATCAGTGGCTGTACATTGTAATGTCACAGAGTTGCTGTCTTCACTCACTGTCTCATCTGATGGCAAATTGGTGATAGTTGGTGGATCTGCAGAAAAGTAACATAAACACTTAGCTTAGAAAGGCTTCCTTTGGGCTGAGTGTATTGGAGACAATATAAATTAATTTAAAATTGAAGATTAGCCTTTCAAACAAGAAGCTTGGAAACTAATATTTGTCTGGTTTTTGAGATTCACAAGGTGAAAATGATGTAATCTACATTATTGTAGTTTATAAAACCGATTTTTTGAGATGTCAAAAATGAGGTAATTACTATCAGAAAATAGGTAATTATTATGCAAATAAAGCAAATTTTCGATAGAAAGCCAAAAAGTAAATTATTATACAAATTGGGTATTATTTAAATCCCAAAACTAACTAGATTATTGCACTGTCTTAGGAGTATTTATACACTAAGATTCATTGAAATAGGATAAGCTAAAAACTGAAAATTATTATTATTTTAATGTAAATCTAATAAGGCCTGCGCAAATGATGATTAGTATTTAATACCGAAAATTGGCTAATTATGCAAATTAGGTGATTTCTGTATATGGATTTAAACCCAAATCCGCTCATAAGCTCAGACATACATGCATCTTGTTTCATCCAAAACCAACATATGTTTCTTGAGATATCAATGGAAAAGACAGACAGACACACCAAAATGACAAGTCGTCAATGTAGAACAAGTTATAGTAAATGCAGAACATGTAAAATGGTGTTCTGGTTAATGACCAAAAAATTATCATTTTTCATTGAAAAAAAGATTTATTTATCTTTATTACACTTTTGCTGAGTGACAACTGTGAATTATAATCATTCATTTGTACCATTAAAACATTGTTCGCAGTAAATCATTCAAACCTGTTTGTGTGATGATTCAAGTACTCCAAGTCATTCAATTAGTTTATTGATTCATATTTGCACTAATAAATTAGTTAGAATTTGTTTGTATTATTATTATATATCTGTCACCGTAACGCCATAAGTTACAGCATGCCGTAATTTTGCGGAAGTTTACGGGGTATTTTCATCTTGCCGAATTCCAAAGAAGTGCCTTGAGTTTGTTGGAAACGTTTCTTCGTTAGTTGGCGTGTATTATAAATAGATATAATAAATCATTTCAGTGATTTCTAAACTTAATAACGATAAAAGAAACTTAAAAATTCATTCGAAGAAGTTCTATTTCCTGTAGATTCATGGTTTTCCATATTATCTGCAATAGAAATCTAGACAACCTGCTCCCACTCATTGTCCATGTTGCTTCAGTCGGAATACTTTTTTTTCAGATCGTAAACTACCTTAAGGTTTTTTTTTCAGAAAGCAGGATATTACGGAATGTATAATGCACTAGGCTATTCAGATTATGTCCAAAAAAGACTATTAATTTTTTTGGCATTCTGGATGCATTGTTGTTCATTTCAAATCGCTTTTTTCTTGATGATTTATTATTTTTATGTTGTTGACTAGTGAGAGTTGTTGACTATGATTCTTCAAACAGAAGAACAAAACTTAACACTTAAATATCAATTGAAGACATTGTAGTAACTATTACTGTGTATTTAGTATTTATAGGCGGAAGTTAGTCTTTCCAGTTGCCATGATAATAATAATAATATAATAGTATTGAATTTATTGCATCCTTATAAATAGTTTCCATTGATTGACAGCAATAAAATGTTGGATATTAATAAATAATTTCTGCCTTTTTGTTTAGTACCTAGAACATTCCATGACGAAATGTTCTTCATTTTCAATTTTGTTCTAAAGGTATTTTGGGTTGGGTATGTTTACACTTCTCAATTTCTAATACATGACTGCTTATTCTGAAACGAGACATTATGATTTTATGTTTCAGATTACATAGGAGCAAATATGGAGTCTTTAAACATTATGTACGTTCTCAGTTTTTTATTATCATTTGTTACACTCAACTTCCAGAACTCTATATACCTTTGTTGGATGTTTTTTATTATTTTTTTTATTTTACTGTGTGGCAATTTTTGAGGTATGACAGACGACGACAAATTTGTAGTATTGTCGGGGACCATGTTTTTTTACTGATGTAAACCAATGTAAATTTTCTTTTTTTTTGTTCTTCGAAGGCCTGTTTGTAATATCACTGTATGGTAAGGCACAAATACGACACCAGTATTTAATAAGATTTTCTTGATATCTATGAGTAATGGAAATTTACCAAGTTCAGCTCTATATGCTGCATTTGAGAAGAAGTTATTCACACCTGGTATTTTTTTGCAGAATTCAAATGTCACTATGAT